TGGAGGGGAAGAGCTGCATTCTATTTACTTTCCAGTTTACTGAGCAAGTCAGATAGAAGCTGTGGGAGGTAGAAAACCAATGGAATGTTGACTGGGATTGTCTTCTCAAAGTTGCTACTGTTCCTTTGAGGCATAATGAGACACTCCCTCTTAGAGCACCATTCCCCATCAGCCAGTAAAACATCAGCAGAGAAGTGCACAAGTTTAGCACACGCTGGAGTGTCTCATAGTGGGATGGCGTAAATTGGTGTACTGCAACAGCAGGGGATTGGACCTGATAGCTTTCTTGACCCCTTCCAGCTCTATCATTCTATGATATAAAAATGTCATGATAAAACTAATGTGAAGAAATCTGGGATAAAATAGCAGAAATGATGCAAGCAAAATGGTTCGGCATAAGTAGCAGTAAGTCAGGCATCTATGATGTCAGCAAATGTTCCTTGTATAAATCCTATTCCTCCAACCCCAAACATGGTTTGTGGGAGCAAGAAAAAGTGTTGGTATTTAACCCCCCCCCCCAAGCACACAATGATTATTATCTCTGCTGGCCATATTTAGCAGGCATGACTGCTGCATAAAAGAAGGTGAATAATGTCTTCATCACAGATACTACAAATCTTTCAGTTCAAGTGTGACGTTTTGGCGGCACCCATTAATCCAAGCTGTAGACTGAGTAACTTTAAACAACAATGAAAAATGTCAGAAATTATGTCCAAAATTGCCTGGTATGCATCTATATTATCATTGCTGTTTCCTTCTGTTAATTAGCTGTCATGAGTACACAGTAACAACCTGCCATTTAATAGCAAGTTAAACGCTTTCTCTAAAGGCTTGGGAACACCTTGATTTGAGATAGTATGCTATTATTTGTAAGCATTACCAGAAGCTATACAGAGATCAGGAGAGAGGGAGAGTCCATGGGGGCAATATTAGCTGACTGTTCCAGCATTTCAAAGCTTTAACAGCCACAAAGGACAGCATGTATAACCACCACAGGACTGTGCTCCTTTCTCTGGCTGGAAAAGGCACCCTGTGATCTCCAAATGTCTGGTCTGGCTTTAAATGCAGCAGCCAGGAAGGTCAAAGTCTGTAGCAGTAATGAATCAAGAATGGAAAACTCAGTGAGGTTATGTGAACAGGGCCAGTATTGAATGTTGGCTTTGTCAGGTACTTGATGAAGCCCTGCCTCAGCAGAAGTTGACTCCAACCCCTGGAGTGCTCTGGCCAATCCTGTCCTGCACTCACTACCTGTTCATCTGCCCTCTCTGAGTGAGCAAACAGCAACAGATGCAGCTTCTGTTTGCCTTGCCATCTCCCTATACCTGGCTTTGCGGATTGGGTCTGCAGGAATAGAGGATATGAAGAGGTAGAAACACTGAGGCCATCTTGTCCAAAGCTCTCCAAAACTTAGACCTAGGTCCTAGGTCAAAGGGCCAGGAGAACAGAAGATGGGCAAGTGATAATGTAGGCAAGTGCCCAGAAACAACATGCATTTTTTTTTAACAAGGCTGAAGTATTATCATCCTGAATATTGTCTTCCTTTTGAATTTAATAGTGGACTGAAATACACAAAAATGCATGCTAATCTTTCCCAGCTTGTTGCCCTTCACATGTTTTTGATGATAACTCCCTGCTGGTATGACCTGTGATAATGGGAGTGTAAGCCTAAGCACCAGGTTGAATCAGTTTTTGTGGGTCCACTGTTGTTTTTGTAACAACAGATAAACATGTCCACTCCTTTGGTAACTTTCTTCAGTATTTTTTCAGTAGTTTTCAGAGTAACAAAAATAGCATCTGATGATTTTAAGTCTATCATGCAAACCTTTCCTCTAGAAAGCATAGTGTCAGATAGATGCAGAGTCATTTCCTTGCACTTTTCAATAATCACTAATGGAGCTTCCTAATTTTGCTTTGAGAGAATCCTTACTTTGTGTTTGGATTTTAATATGCCATGACGCCACTGTATTATTTCAGCACTTTGAAACTTCTGCTGCTCTAGTCTTTTTACAAGCTAAAAAGTAATGAGGAATGGTTCCTTTCCCTCTCCAAAAAGAATATCTTGGAGTAGATTGCATTGCCACAAATGAAGCAAAAATGAAAAGTAGGTGCATTGCTTAAGGATCCTCTTTTCTAGTTTATTCTGTGGAAGCAATTAAAGGAAAGACAACATTAGTCTTGAGGTAAAACTCATCATACATCTAGAAAATCTTACTAATTGATGGAAAAAATAGAATACACAGACTACAATCCTCTACCCGCTGTTGAACTCAGTGTGACTTATTTCTGAGTAGACATGCACAGAATTGCATTGCCATGGCTCACTAGTGCTCCATAGAAGGCTTCCATTGTGCTTTTCCTTTTTTATCCTTTGAACAGCCCTTTATTTGGGCTGTTTTATTGATGGATGTTTTATTTGCATTTTGTTTGTTTTTGATCTAAAAGTGACTTGGAAAAATAAAAATATATAGTTGTAATGCGTAGGAAAATTTCACTTGAACCCCAGAGATTCTGCCCTGTTTGCAACATCTGTTATTATTTGGGCCATACTCTTATCAGAGCTTCATAGTCACAGCAAGACAGGGCGGATCTACTTTGTGCTAAGTAGAATAAAATAATAATGATTTTGTACCTAGGATACAAACAAGAAGCAAGAAGAAACATTTAATTATGTGGCCTGTATAAATTATGGAAATTAAATTACTATATTGTTCTGGCTTGTCTGGAACTGAAGTCTGGACTCAGCTCCCTCTGCTGACAAGCAGTGTGATTTACCATGCAAGTGCTTGCAGGACCAGGAGCGCACCTGTAAGTACTTGGGAGGATTGGCGCCTATGTGTCATGAAGCACAGCTGAGAGCTCTGGAAGGCTCTATAAAAGGCTTTCCTGTGGTACTTAAGTTTACTATAGTAGTAAGGGTCTTTGTGGTAGCTATGTCATGTCTGGTTGTTCCTTCTGAAGTTTCTTTGAGCCTGAACCTGCCTTGGTAGGTACCTCTTGGCTTTTCTGACATTGCCTTACTCTTGATCCTGTTTCACCTTGCTGGTCTTCAGACTCAAATTGTCTCTGATGCTGCTTTACCTTGCTAGTAACTGACAGCTGGTATTTGGGCTTTGCCTCTCATACCCTGCCAAGACCTTCATATCACTTCAGTGCCCCTGGTCCTGGTGTTGCACTCATAGATGCTGGCCTCCTCAGTCTAGTCATTGGCATGTATTTTGCATAACCTTTACACCTAGTCATTGGAATGAGAAAGAAGTAATGAAGAATCTTCAGTTTCTTAACTACCAAAAATCTGTGGTTTCTGACGTATCCACAGGCATTGCTTATGTACTTCTAAGTTGATATTTGCCAAGGCTGCTCTTTTAAAGAAACAAGGGAAAAACAAAATAAGTTAACTTCTAAGGATATTGATTTATATGCACAACCTTGGCTCTGTATACATAGTTGCTATGTAATGTGTGCATTAAATGTGTCTTCTGGTGTGTAATGCAAGCTTATCTGTGTATGCATGCACACACAGAGCTTTTTTTGGTGGTATTATATGCAGAACTATGACCACCATGTTATTATATGAATGTTTCCTGTGATGGCCTCAGTGCCACCTGTCTGGACTCAACTGTTCTCACACAGAAATTAAAGTAAAAGTGATCACAGAGAACTAGAATGTAGCAAAGGAAAGTGAAGCACAGCAATAAATATAAATTCATTTGCCTGGAGTTTTGTATGATTCTTACTTGATCATAATTTCATTGTCAGGGCAAACTTATTGAAATCATGTTTTCCTTCCAAGCTTACCAACTTCCCCATGACAACACCCCTATTAAACTCATGAGGTATACCAACAACATCTCCATTCTTATGCTAGGTTTTCCCTGTGTCCTTAGTTTCAAGTTCCCTCTGAAGTACTTGAACACTGCTTGACTCCTGTGTTCTGCTCCATCTACATCTTCTCTATGCTTTCTAGGACTCATTATTAATATATTTAACACTATATTCTCTTTGTTTCTCATGTCACCCTATTGTTTCTGAAGCATACACACACACACACAAAATAAAAATAGAGCTCTCTGAACTTGGCTGATTCTGCATTTTCAGTTTTATAACTATTTCTGGAGTGGCACCCTGTGCTTATAATTGCTGTGAGGAAAGACTTTGCATTTTGATCTAAATGTGATAAATAGTTCTAATAAGAAAACTTTTGTGCATCTGCTTGTGGTATATTGTTCCCAGAAATGAATGAATAATATTGTCTTTTGACAATGTTCTCTGAACAGTGTTTTCATCCAATTAAGCATAAATATTTTCACAGACTCTGATTTCTGTCAACATTTATTAGGCAAAATTTCATTTCTTCTTTGATTAGTTTGTATGCATGTTACTTAATGTGATACTGCTTTGCAGCACAATGTCACTGATAGATGTATCAGAGTTTTATAATGATGGCTGCTGGTTGTTAAGGGAGACATAAACCATGAGACGATATCTTGATTGGGCCAGGAGCTTCATGATTCAATCAGTGGTGTCCTTCACACTCTTTGGGGAACCAGTTGTCATGGCATCCTATGGAGAGGATAGGGACCACATATAAGATGGAGACCAAGAGGTACATACTACATAGCATACTCCAGATCTAAAAAAAAAAAGAACTTCAGCTGGAGCAATAGAATGGTTGCCAAACTTCAATCTTTTGCTCTGATGCACTGCTGCTTTGGGGGCTCCACTGTTGGCTTGTATTTTCATGCTCACTTCAACAGGGAGGACAGCATGAAGAAGTGCATGTGCAGAATTCCTCTGTGCATTGAGGTATGTGGTACATAAAAAAGCTCCAATTGTACATCAGACTGTAAGTGGAACACTGGGTATGGGTGCTATAGAAAATGAAACCAGATGCTGGAGCTTTGGAAAAAAGAAAGTTTTTATTTGTTTACACATGCCTGCACTTCACTTGATCTCCTACTGATTATTTAACACTTGATGACACTCAGCAGAATGTGTGAACAATATACACTGCATTGTGTTTGGAATATTGTGATTCTATTTTCCTTTCTAGGTGCTCTGTCAAATGAACACTTAAAATTAAGAGATTAATTAATCTGGCCATGAGCCATTGATACAGGTCTGGGATTCTTTTGATATATTGCCCGCTTTGCTGCCCAATAGTCTGTGTTTTGAGCTGGTGGCCCTAAACTGGCAGATAATGTTGGCTTACTGAGCTGCATCTCCCTCCCCAGTATGCAGCAACTCAGGATTCCTAGGTGATATCAGAGCATTAACTCCATTGATATAGACAGATCACTACTTAATAGAATGGACTTCAACTAGGCTTCAGTTCTCATCAAACTCAGCCAACATGTCCAGTGGTCAGGACTGTTAGGAATGATATCTGATGGGCAATATGGGGGAGAAGTCTGTGATAGAATATAAATCTACTGGGACTTCTAATCTCTGCAAGGGTAGAGGGAGAATTAGGATGGTCCATTTTCAGAGACTCTGGAATCCAGATAGAATCTTGACTGCTGTAGCAGTTGCTCTTGCTGTTATGGCTAGTGGTTCTGTGGAAGCCCTAGTAGTACTCTGGAAAAAGGGAATGACTTGGGCAGTTCTTCCACTTGAGTTCTTCCAGGCTAAAGCTCAGTCAGAGGAGGAGTTGGGGAACTGGATCCAGTTTTCAGTATTGAAACAGCATTATTTTGAATCTGCAGAACCTGAGCCAGGACCCTTGTGGCATCTTTTCCCTTGTCCCATTTGCTGAGGGGTCATGCATCTACTGCTTTACCATACCTGCTGACCAGCTCATGGAGCAAGGCAGGTTGGAAGAAAGGAGAGAAAGTTCTCTTTCAACAAAGGGTGGGGGGTTGGTCTTTTAAAGTTTCACACTCTTTATGTGAAGGAACGATTTGGGTAGGGTTTGGGTGGATGGACGGTTTCAAAACCTCAGTTCACCACCGCCCTTAATTAGACAAGTTGTTTACTTGGACTTTTCCTTGGTATTGTACCTATTGGCATGCCTTGCCTTTTGTGGTGTATGGACTCCAGAACATCAAAGCAGGCTACACTCAAATTCATTAGATTTTGGAAGAGCTAGAAATGAAGTGATTGGGCAGATTGTGGGGAAAGACCTATAACAAATCTGAGCTTGGGCTAAGGCAATGGCAAACAACTCTTACTTCTCAACCACCATTGCATCATCGCAGTGTGGACAACTGAAGCATTTCTGAGTTTTATGGGGCTTCATTACATTACACCCCTCAGAAACCCACTGTGCCCAATTTGTACAACACTTTGCTGATTAAGTAGTTCTCTTCCAAAAAGGTTCAGCTTCAGAGCATTCAGCAAGCTTCCCTGTTGCAAATGTTACTTCTGTGCATGGGGCAGGGGGTGGGTGGTGATGATGGGGCCAGGGCCATCAGACATAGGCTTGCTTTCTCTGTCCACATGATGTTAATTGCACAGAGACTAATAACTGCACTGTATTGTAGTATTTTAAATATTAGTATTATTTTTATATTTTAACTGTTTTATGACATTCTACTATTTTAGTTGTTTGTAATCCATGTAAAGATCATTAGTTATTGTGTAGATTAGGAAAACAAATTGAGAAGGGTTGATGAAGAAAGCTAAATCTGGATGAGTGTTGTGCTGGAAGTCTTTTATTACCTTATAACTCATCTATCCATTATCATTGATAAGAAAAGGACAAATAGCAGATGTCATGTTGTTTGTTATTGGTAACACCTCAGGAAGCAGAGAGCAGATAACAGATTTTTCCATGGGTTGTTTGGCTCTAGTGCACAATTGCTTTGTAGAGTGCTTGCTAGTGATGTGACCATATGACACATACCAGAAGAAACAAGGAAGGAGGGTTATTTATGTAACACCATGGTAAGAAATTATTGCCTGACAGGCTGTGATGCCATGAACACTTGAACCAAGTGCCAGAAGTTGAAGTAGATGAAGTAACAACATAGTAATGAAGAAGACTAGAGGTGGGGGCAGGAAGAAAATTTGGATTGGGAATGTCAGAAAACAATCAGCTTCTTAGATGCAAATTCTGAGGCAAGTGGAAAAGTTGGGTATCTGTTTAAAGTAAGTGTCAAGGACCAAAACTCATTAATTTGAAGCCAAGTGAGAGAATCCCTGGAGGCCTCAGTCAGTGTAATGACAGAAGGAAATACGACACTGGAGAGGTAGGTAAGCACAACATAACCCAGACAACTAATGGCTGTACCATATTCAAACCCTCCTTGCCTATGCAGATTTGGTGGTTTCCTGCCCTCAGTCTCTAGATACTGTTTTAAATGCCAGATTCATCCAAAATAAGACCTCCCTGGTTCACAATTTAACAGTGGATGAGGCAGCCAATCTAGCATATTACAGAGACCTGGGTGGTTTAGCTCCTCCCTCGTGTATTTGGTCTAGTATCAGGTTAGACTTAAAATCTGGGAGGATTGTTGTGGTCTTTAGGAATTCAGTCTCTCTCGAGGTTGCCTGCCCATCTGTCTACTGTTTGGCATGTTTTCATCTTGAGTTGCACCAATGGGACATATTAGGGATTCTGCTAGTAGTGAGGGCATCAAAGAAACATCTTGTTGCTGCTTTTTTGCCATCCAGTGGAGCTTTTCAGGAGCTTATTCAATGCTGGTCCCAAGGTCATTTTAGACACACCTAAAGTCTGCTGTGGCACAGTGGTTTAAACTGCTGTGCTGCTGGGCTGGTTGATCGAAAGGTCACCGGTTCGAATCTGCACAATGGGGTGAGTTCCTGTTGCTCCATCCCAGCTCCTGCCAACCTTGCTGTTCGAAAGCATGCAAAAGCAAGTAGATAAAAAGGTACTACTTTGGTGGGCAGGTAACAGCGTTCTGTGCACTTCAGTGTTTAGTCATGCCGGACACATGACCACGGAGACTGCGGACAAACGCTGGCTCCCTTGGCTGGGAAATGGAGATGAGCACCGCCCCCTAGGGTCAGGCATGACTGGATATAACATCAAGGGGAAACCTTTACCTTTACCTTAAAGTCTGCTGTAATGTATTTGCTAGGTACTTCCAAAATAAAAAGTTCATCCACCAGGACATAGATTCCAATTTTTTGGCAGTTGCATTGAGTGAGGTATCCAGAGGACAGCCTGGTCCAGTTCCATTGGATGAGTTTCAGTTAGTTCAGCTTGAGAATGTTGACAAGATGCTTGGACAAGTTTGTGCAACCACATCTATATTCTTTTCCGTTCTCGGCATGTAAGCTAGCAGAGAAGGAGCAACTGTCTGTGCCAGGGTGGTGATCAATGCCTATAGTCATGGAGGTAATAGTTCCATGATGCCTAAAAGAGGTGGAGGTGAGATCACTCCTGGAGAAAACTTGTCTGGACCTGGAAGAACTTAATAAATTTAGGCTGGTGGTAATTCTTCTCTTCTTGGACATGTTCTTCAAGTGGTTGGTGGCCAACCAGTTCCAGGAATTTTTGGATGAAACTGAATATGTGAATCCATATGAGACAGGGTTCAGGCCAGGCTTTGATGAGAAACCATTAAGTCTCTCTGTATGGTCACCTTTTGATATGCTTGGACCTCGCAGTGGCTTTTCATATATCATGAGAACCTGCTGGAGCATGGATGGTTGGCTCCCAAAGGTGGTACTTAAGGAATATTGCTCAGCTCTATGGATTCTCCAGCATGGGATTTCTTAGGAGTTGTTAAATAGCGTGGGAAAAAAGACCATGTACATGAAACTGCAGAGTAAGATCATCTGAAGTTTTGGACTATGTTCCCATCAGTACACTGATCACATGCACCTCTATGTCTTCTGCACATCTTCTGCAGGTACAGCTGTATATATACTAAATTAATTCCTGTCTGGAACAGTGCTCTGGATGAAAGCTAACAAACTAAGCTCAATCCAGTCAAGACTGAGCCACTGTTGGTGGGTGGTTCCTCTGACTGAATAGAAGTGTTCAGCTTGTTCTGGATGGGATTGCTCTCCCTTTACAGGAGTAGATTCATAGCTTCAGGGTCTTCCTGAAACCATCTTTGTCAAGTAGCCTCTGTGGCTCAGAGTGCCTTCTACTTACTTTGGCTGGTGGCTCAGCTATGCCTCTATCTAGACAGGGATATCCTGGTTTCAGTAACCTATGCTCTGATAATCTCTGAGTTAATGACAGTAATATGCTCTGTCAGACTGACCTTTGAAACTGTTGAAGTTGTAACTTGTGCAAAATGCAGCAGCCAGGCTGATAATGAGAGAAAAAAGGTCTAAGTACATAACATTGGTTCAGGCCTGTTTACATTGACTACTGGTACATGCAAGCCTATTCAAGGTGCTGGTTTTAACCTTTAAAGCACTACATGGCTTGGAGATGTAATGCTTGATGGAATGCTTCTCTTACCTGAGTCTTCCTGGGCAGTAGAATCAACATCTGGCCCTTTCCTCATCTTACTACCTCCTCCAAGGGAGGCTTAATTGGTGGCAACAAGGAAGAAGGCCTTTTCTGTGATAGCCCCCAAATTATGAAATGATTTCCCCACTGAAGCCCACCTGGAGCTATTGCTGCAATCTTTTCAGCCCCAGGTTAGGACTGCTGTTAATGCCAAGACTTGAACAGCACTGTGGGAGGTACTGTCAGATTTATTTTAGGAGGCTGAACTATATAAGCCTGAATTGTTAAAGTTCAGTTTTAAATGTTAATGATTTTGATGTTTTATTGCCATTAATATTTTATATAGCATTTTATTGTATTAATTTTTGTATTGTGCCCTGACAGCTTTAGCTTTAGAATAGAAATAAAATTAATAAATATTAGTAATGCAGAACACTATATTTCCATGGAATTGATTCAAATACCTAATTCTCACAATGAGTGAACCTCAATCCATTATTTCAGTAATCAAACTGGTCCATTGAAAATTGTCATGTATTCTATACAAGAAACACAATATTTGACTGATAACCCTCAGGCATACAAACAATTTGAATAGGGGTTCTTTGCAATTTCAAAATGTTAATAATTGTGAGAGCTCTTTCCTTTCTTCCCAGTTAAACCCACACTTGGAGAAACCTTCCATCATCTCTTACTTATGCCCATTGTTGCATTCTCCTCTTCAGCCCCATTTCCCCATTGATTCTCAATGGGATGCAAACTACCCCATAATAAACCTCATTCTTAGATTCCTTTTTTCCATGGTACATCCCTTATATAAAGATTGTATCACTTCTGCTTACATGGAACCATTCCACCTGAAGAAGTTAAAATGCATGCATCAGAGAAGTGTCTAAGTTTTTGAATTATGCTGTTAGGTGGTATTTTCATTCCCCCTCCCCACATGCATTAGCTTTATTGTTGGATGTATATCAATTTCAAATGGAGTAGCAATTTAAATTTCTACTACATAAAGCTGCTGTATGTACAGAAACTTATTTCTGTGCAAAAACATGGACAGCCCTTGTTGTATTACAAATGAAGGTTGCTTCAGAATGGGATATCAATCATAACTTTTGAATTCTGGGCCTAAAGAAATTAAAATTCTAATATTCACCATTAAATTAAAAATGCATTTTAGTTATTCTTTGGACTGGATTCAGCATGAATCATTATTTGGAAAACTGATATCCCAATTTTATTGCTTATGCTAAATACCTGAGCATCCCAAAACACTTTAGAATTGACATGGTAGCTAAAAACCAGATATTATTATTATTATTATTATTATTATTATTATTATTATTATTATTATTATTTGCCTGCTTCAAAAACAAAGGTGTTACTGTAATGGGATGCAGCATTTGCTCAACAGTGCAGGAATTTACCATTCAACTAAGAAAGTAGAAAACTAATTCTAGTTGAAAGCTAAAAAATCAAAAATTAAATTGTTAGAAAATTAGCACAACATTCTCAGTCTAGAAAACCACTTTTTCTGAATTGTTTGTGTAGTGGCTTTAAAAATTTCCCATCCCATTCATACTTGAAATTGCTTTTAATAAAGGAAGAAGCTGCTGAAGTGGTAGACTTTTCTAGTATGACTTGTTTGTTTTATGTGAATAGTGGTTTTTTAATCACTCTTGTTAGGTATTCTATGACCAGATAATTTATAGATAATTATTGTTACTTGTTTGAAACAAGCACAGTAAATAACAGATGAAAAATTAATAGTTTTGGTTTGTTCATTCTTCCATTCATTTTTCTTTTACTCCACACCAGGTGTTTGTTTAAATCAGATAACAGATGAGATGATTTGCAATTTAGAGACAAACCTATGTATATACAGTTACCTTTCTTAAAAGCTATGCTGGATCAGACCAATGGTCCATCCAGTCCAATACTACTTTCAAATACTGACAAACCAGCTGTCCAGTTCCAAAACCTGGGAAGACATTGATGCACAGAAAAATTTGCAAACACTCCTGGCCAGTATCTTTAAGTCTGTAAGCATAGGAGGAATAAGGAGAGGTGCTCCTAGAACAAAGATGCCCTTTGAGAACCTGCACATTCTTGGACAGCACTCACCTAGCACACTGTTCTCCACCCTAGCTCAGTGCATGTTTTGCTTTCTCCCTTTCTTCCCTCCAATTTATGTGTTTTTTCTCTCAACTCATTCTTCCCTCCCTTCCCTAGTGCTTATTTCCCTTGTGCATTACCTGGGAGCAGCAACACCTTTCTCTTCTGATAGCACACTTGAACACTTCTATTTAGAGAAGCTGCAGTCATACATGCTGTGTTTATTTGCTAAGTGTGCCCCTAAGCCAGTGGTGGCGAAGCTATGGCATGCGTTCCGCAGTGGGCACGCAGAGCCCTCTCTGTTGGCAGGCGAGCCAAGTTGCTCCAGCATCGCCCCAGCAGCCGAGCATCAGCTAACAGCACACACAGGGGCCATGCACATGCTTGGAAAGGAGTAGCGGAGCCAGGCGATGGCGTCACATGCTGCGACTCATTAGCCACGACTCGTCTGAGCTTTCACATGGCTGGTCAGTGTGCTGCCAAGGAGAGAGAGAGAGTTGCTTGGACTGGCTATGAGATTTAATGCATTTGTTTTTTATTAACACAAGATTTTAGCTTTGAGTTTTCTTATGAAAAATTGAAATTTAACATTAAGATTTAGCAAAGAGAATAAAAAGCTGTTTGTGTCACTGAAATCTCTGTTACTGTGTTTTCTTTTAAGACAAAATATGTTAATGTATGAGTTGTTTTTTTCTAAACTTAAAACCTCAGTATTCAGGTTTTATTGCAGTGTTGGCACTTTGTGATAAATAAGTGTGTTTTGGGTTGCAGTTGGGGCACTGAGTCTCTAAAAGGTTCGCCAGCACTGTCCTAAGCCCTTATGACCATCTAGAGGGTGTCTGGGGAAATAAAAATGCCCCACTAACTGCAGCTTTCTCCACAGTGCTTCAACCTGCTTTAAAACTTAGAAGACAACAATGACAACAGTGACAAAGAAATAGTAGTGAAAGGGGGAAACAGAAATAATGTTGGAAGAAATAAGGGGAGGGGAGGTGACATTTAGGGACCCTCTGAGCCGTGATATCTCAAACCAGTGGTCTTCCTTTCACAACACCATTGAAAGCTGTTCTCAGTCAATACAGCTACTGTTTTATTCATTTTAGCCTTTTTATTTAGATACAGAATGATTGGAGTCAAATAGCCTTAGAATGATTTCTCTAATTGAAGACAACTTGGATGAGATAGTTCATGCTAACTCAATAGGTTCCAAATTGGAACACCTTGTTAAACACAAATGAGAAACTAAAATTTTATTTAATCGATTTGATGCTTTGAGTGCACTCAGTGGAAAATTACAGTTAACTGTTTCTATGTTTTATTCCTTTTAGTAGTTGTTGGTATCTTATACATTTTAAAAGTATAAAAAGCCAGCATGTTTTTGATTTCTCTCTGTGTCATTTGCATCCTATTATGTTGAATGTACATGCACACAACCAGACAGAAATGCTTTACTAACGTGGCTGCACATATATTTATTTGTGTATGAATCCCCATGTTACTGATACATAGCCTTATTCCTGCTAAGTAGCAAGAAGGATCTGTTTTACAAACTTATAACTGCAGTCTGTGGGAACACTGTGATAATGAAAGAATAATAGCTTTTTCCCAGTGTTCTAATTAGCACCAGTCAATCTTCATTGATGTGAAATGTGCTTCATATATGAATAAGTTGGGCATGACTCTGTTCCCAGTTACAGCTAAGGAATTTATTTCTTCTTAACTATTGGACTGTGCCAAGCTACTGTGAGGAGTCTCTGAGCACAGTTAATTTGCATCAAATCATGTGCAACACAGGAACCATGTTACTGGATTTGAACCTTGGACCTTGACTTCCTCTTCAATGGTAATAGAGGGAGCACAGCATCTATGCTTCTGAAGAAAAAATACATACAGTGGGATTCAGTGCATTGCGATGTCAAGACAGAATTTATCTTCCAATCTGTCATAATTCTATTGAGAAGGAACAGTAGCCCAACAATAGAGACCTTGTGCATGCAAAATATATGCTCAAGTTCAGTCCCTTATACCTTCAGTGTATGTGAAATGATCTGGATGCAGAGTTGGGAAAAACCTGCTATGGGACCTGGCTGGTAGTGTTATGCTAGATTAATGTGTTGCTTATATCAAGTATGGGGCAGCTTTTACTACTCATGTATTTATTTATTTGGTCATCTTTTGAACTGCCCTTCAATACAATGGTTGTGTACAATTTAAAAACCAAAATGTCACAGTAGCCACAACCAAATACATTCAACAAAACTGCAAAAGAATAGTAAAAGCTATCAAGCAAAAGATGGATCTTAGTAGCCTGGCCACAAGCCTTATCTTTCATTAATATATAGCATAATAGAATTGGACAGGACAAAAAAGACGGTCAGGTCCAATATTCTGCTCAGTGTAGGACTCCAGGATAATGGATCTATAAAACATGGCTGTCCAGCTGCATCTTGAAACCTCCAGTGTGGGAGAACCTACAAGCTCTCTAGACACTGGTTTCACTATTCTCTTCCTGTAAGTTTCAGGAAATTCTTCCTGATGTTCAATCAGAATCTGGCTCCTTGTAACTTGAACTCATCACTCCAGATCCAGATCCTTTGAGTCTGATTCTGTAGCCAACTGTGGAACAGCTGAAAGTTGTTTCATCTAACCCACTGTTAGCTAGTTTACTAATCAGGATATTATGAGGCACTCTGTCAAAAGCTTTGCTGAAGTCATAATGTGCTTTATCCACATTCTGTCAGTCCATCCAGGAAGTTACCTAATCAAAAAATAGGATCAGATCAGTCTCCTAAGACTAGTTCTTGACAAATTCATGTTGGCTTCTTGTAGTAAATGCCTTATTTCAAGATGCTTGCTCCAGAATTTCTACAGGGACTGGTCTCAGACTTACTGGCATGTACTTTCCACATTCCTGAAGGAGCGCTTACATCCATATATGCCCACCCACCCCCTGAGATCAGCGGGAGAGGCCCTTCCCTGGGAACCCTCCGTGAAGGAAATTAGGAGGGTAAGTACTCGGAGGAGGGCTTTCTCTGTGGTGGCGCCCAATCTATGGAATGTGCTCCCCAGAGAGGTCCGCCTGGCGCCGTCATTATTTGATTTTCAGCGCCAGGCGAAGACCTTTTTATTCAAGCGTCATTTTAACTGTTAATAGTATTTATTTATTTTATTTTTTGGCCAGGGTGACTTATTTTATATTGTTAACTTGTTTTATATTGTTAATTTATAGTATTTTAATTGATTTATTTGTAAGCCGCCCCAAGGCTTCGGCAAATGGGGCGGCATAGAAATTTTCTAAATAAATAAATACTCTTTTTTTCCCCTTTTTGAAGGTAGGATTGTTAGCCCTGCTGCAGTCCTTTGGCATTTCACTGATCTTCCATGACTTCTCAAAGACAATAAGACAATAGTTCTGAGAGTTCTTCTGCCAGTTCTTTTATTATTTTAGGATGCAATTCATTGGTACCTGGAAATTTGAACTTGTTTGACATATTAATTCTTACTTACATTCCCAGCTAGCTTTATTTCTAAACTTTCCTGACCCCAGAAGATGCCTTGTATTTAACGACAGTTGCATATGAAATAAGGGTTATATTCTTCCATGTCCTGAAAACAAGAAGTTAAACCTGTTTCTCTCACTATGCTGCTGTTCCAATTACTGTTGAATGTGTTGATCGGAAATAGGCAGACATGGAAGCAGCCATGCCTAGAAGGAGCATGTGGATGTATTAAGAGAAGCAGTTCTGGAAACTATAAATCCTAAACCCTGAGGGGTTAGAATGATAACAGAATTGCAGCATATGAGTAGCTCTAGATATGCTCTCCAACATCAAGAAACTTTTCAAGCAGCTATGTAGTGCCCTTTCAGATCTTTATCCTCCTTTTTTTAATCGGGAATTTTGCAGATCTCATTTTCTCCTTCCCTTACCAGCTAACCTAAGCTCATAAGCAGTGACCCTAATCATTGCCTTACATGAAATGTGCCTAGGCTGCAATATGTGCCCCACATAGAAATCCACACTGTCATAAAATGGGCTAGTGGTAGCATGTCACATGTTATAGTGCTTAAAGTTGCTATGTGTCTGTCCTCATCAATACACCCATACTTGATACAGTAATTGCATCTTAGTGTAAGGAAATAGACACCCTTCAAATTAACCATGAAAATAAGTGTTCAGGGGTGGCATCCCCTTTTACTATATCCCTGTTCATATGATCTTGCCCTAGCCCATAAGAAATTATTGATTCCTCCTGGTGTGGCTAATGCAGTGATTTGCTATGAACTATTGTCAGTTATGGAACACCCATTTCTCATGCATTGGAGAAAGCAGATAAAGCACATGGCAACCATGTTATCTTTGTTTTCTTAATCAGGAGGAACATAATATAGCAATGAATGCTAGTCTTTCTCTTTCTCTTTTCTGATCTCAAGCAGGAGTCACATACATACAACGTAATTCTTCTGTTTTCTCATGTACTGGAAACACCATGTCAGCATGTGCATACCTACTGAAATGATACAATAGCTGAGATTCAGTTCAGCACCTTCTTAGTGCAACACCCCACCTCTGGATTTCTTTTCCTAGAGTGATCCAATAACTTTTCCCATGCTGACTTTTAAGTGACACTCAGCACTTCCTCATTCTATCAGGATTTTTTGTGTTTTTGTTTTGTTTTTGTTTACTATTAAATGTATTTGTTCAGGACTTTTAATATCTTCTCTTTTTAGTTTCTGTATTGTATGGTTTCATTGCTGAGGGCTGCCTTGGGCAGCTGTTAGGAGGCTGAAAGTTAAAATACCAATAATAGATCAATAAGGAAAATATGGTTTCTTAACAAATCAATCTGGATACCTTCTTTAAGTATTTATTATATTTCTAGCCATTTTCCCCCTGCTATGCTGTACTGGCTCAGTGTCCCACAATCACCATTCTGTTTTTCTGGGAAACAACTTTTACAGGCAATTATTCCATCTGAGCAGCCTAGGACACAACATTTTCAGCCTCTGACTCCTGCTGTGTTAATGGCTTGAGAAGATTAGCCATGCGTTTTGGACTGGTTTGTAAACAGAACTCACATTTCCCTTTATAAGGTTTTCCTATAGAGTAAGAAGTCTAATTTGTTAAGTTTTCTCTGCACTTCCTCATCCAAATCTTTAATAAAAATATTGAAGAGCACTGGGCCCAGGACTGAACCCTGTGGTACCTCACTCTTTACTTCTTTCCAGTTTGAGAAGGTGCCATTGCTGAACTCTCCTTGAGTCCAATTCTGTAGCCAACTGAAGGTTGTTCTTTCTAGCCCATTTTAAGCTAATTTGCTACAATATAATCCTGCACTTAGTCTGGCAGGATTTGATCATGACAAACTCATACTGCCTTCTAGTAATCATTGAATTGTTTTCAAAATGTTTGCAGGCTGACTGCTTTGTAATCTGCTCCAGAATTTCCCCATGGATTGATGTCAGACTGACTGGTCTGTAGTTCCCATGTTCTTCTTTTCCCTTCTTGAAGATGGAGACGTTAACCCTTCTCTAGTCATCTGGCATTT